TAAAAAAGTAATAGTAATTATTAAGAGATAAATTAACCAAATTGTGCAAATTATTTTTTTACTTTTGAACACTTTATGCTCTTTCTCTCTTGTAGGTGTGCATATATGGAGATTTCTAATAACTGAAAAATGTATAAATGTACTCTTTTCCTATTTTTCTACACATAGTTTGTAAAACATTTATAAGTAATTTACAAATTTTATTTCAAGCGTGATAATTATAAGATGATAAGAAGTTAATAACAATTCATCTGTCGCCAAGTTATTTTACTGTAATCAATCAAAACTTGAACATAATTCGGTCAAGTCATACATAGTGTTTATTAATTTTTAAATATTTGAGACATTTTTATATTACTTCACATTCTGATCTAATCAGTCGCCTTTGATCATATTAACTCTACGTATGTACTTTCCAGTCTTTAAATAATCTATTTATAAAATCACGTATAAACCTCTTTGATTTAAAATTTTTTAATATTTATGGTCCATGAATAAAAACAAATGCATTTTTAGTAATTAATTTATACTCTACAAGCAAAATGTCAGCAAATGGCGGCAAATTAGTAGCAAAATTGATCACATAGTCTGGCTGCAAAACCGATATTATTTGTGTCCTCATTAAGCATGCATTTGCAAGCACAAGTCTGCTGATATAACATCTGATATAACTTTTCAGCTGAACTCTTTGCGCTAATTCTAATCCGTCTTTTTTCTGCAATGTCTAAGGCTGATATTCATATAAATGATAGTGCCAAACGTAGTCCCAAAGAGACCCCAATGTCTTTCGAGGATTAATATATAAAATAATCAATAATCTCTACTCAAGTCTCTACTCAATTCCTTCATCGTTGCATAAAATATTATAATAGGTCGTAATAATCCACACGTTAATACGCTATACAAATAACTTTGACAGCGGTGCTCAACGTCGCTTCACGGTCACTTTCCGAAACTCTGGGAGTATTAATAAAATCCTTAAAATAGATTAATTTTTAGTTAATTTTCTTTCAATATTTATACAAGCTATTCTTACATTTGACGATGTACTGCCACAATCCATATTTTCTTCTTCTCTTTTTTCCCCATACGCGTCTAGAAAATCGATAACATTGGACTACATAACACATCTGATTTGCTCGATTTTTCTTTAGTAAATTGTAAAGCCTTGTCCCCGATGCTAAAAATTACTCCGAGATCTTGGATAGAGAAAGAATTAATCAATCGCATTGGTCAATTGTCGAATTGTTTAAATATAATTGGTCAATTTTTTCTCCGTCCGAGAACTCTGAGAAATTTCTAGTATCGTGGACGCTTAAGACTGGAACGCAATACAAAGGCAATAGGAACAGGGTATAGAAATCAGAAATCATGTATAAATGCAGAATAAATAGTGGCACAGGCAATAGACACAGTTTCCGTCACGTTTGAAATTCTGTGCCTATTGCATGTTGCCAACCAATCATAGCATTTAAATTGTTTAGGTTGTAATTAATAAATTTTTTATTATTCCTTGTTCCAATTACCTGTACCTTTGTATTCTGGCCCTTATAAGAAACACTTCGAACACTATTTATTTTTAATGTTGTAGATACTCCCAGAGTTTCAAAGTGACCATTGCGCTGTCCGAGCTACTTGCATACAGATTTCGCCTAAACAAAAATAATCTTATTAAACAACATGAAAGAAGAGTCGACATTTTGGTCCAACAGGTATGTGTGTGTATATATATATATCTTTTTATTATAATTATCGTCATGCCATATACTTAGAAACTGATTAATATATTTATTTTTATAAAAATAATGCTGGGTATTTATTTAGAATACGGACCTGACAATGCAGCAATTTCTCTTATATTAACAATTATAAATTTAATTTTATATTAACAATTATATATTTAATTTCATTATTAGCATAACCTCAGATACTATCATTTCGCATTGTCGTCTCTTTAAACGCCGTTCAAACTCATTAACCCACCCTACCCTACCAAAAATTGGCATTTCCGATGAACGCCGATAAAGTTCAATTAATTTAAACTTTCATTAAAAAATTAGTGGAATACAAAATCGAAGTCATTAATCGAACTTTAAACTTTTAACCACGCTGGAGGAAACAGGCATAAATAGATTGAAAACAAATACCTGAATATATAATGTAGTTACATAACCTGAATATAATATTCTGGTCTTCCATCAATTGATCTTCACAAAATTCTTCAATCGAAAAGCATGTTCAAGATCTTGTCGTATCGGTTAGAGGTTAATACGTTTAAAATAGTAGGCCTGTTCGTAGTCGCAACCATCAGCAGCCACGGACTTATAGCAGAACAGAGCACTAACAGAAAAGAGATACGGTGAAAGTTAGCCAATCAGAGAGCTTTCCAGCAAGAGACAAGTCGACGCAAAACGTCGTTTTATCTTTCTTTTTTGCCAATGAGCAAAGGCAATCGTGGACACACATGGGAATTGAGAATTGAGAATTGAGAATTGAGAATTGGGAATTGGGAATTGGGAATTGGGAATTGGGAATTGAGAATTGGGAATTGGGAATTGGGAATTGGGAATTGGGAATTGGGAATTGGGAATTGCGAATTGCGAATTGAGAATTGAGAATTGAGAATTGGGAATTGGGAATTGGGAATTGAGAATTGAGAATTGAGAATTGAGAATTGAGAATTAAGAATTGAGAATTTTGAATTTTGAATTGAGAATTGAGAATTGAGAATTGACGTAAACACTTTATTCCAGCATGGTTGTGGATACAGACCTCGAACCTCGAATTAAAGTCTGACTATAACGGCCCGGACACACACTTTTTTGTAACAGTAACAGTAGGATTTCGACCAATCGTGTTACTCGATTCGGGAACGTACGGCCGTACGTTTTCGAATCGAGCAACGCGATTGGTCGAAATCCTACTGTTACTGTTACGAAAAAGTGTGTGTGGCCAGCTTAAGGCCGAGTTTCCACTGAGCGCGTCACGCGCGCGTCATCACAAGTTAACCAATCAACACATCCCATTTTATTACATTACTTGTGACAGGATCAAAATGGGATGTTTTGATTGGTTAACTCGGATGACGCGACGCGTGACGCGCTCATAGGATAGCCGATAGCGCATCTCTTGCGGAACGGGTGAACGATGGTATAGGCCTTATTATCTTCCGCAGTGTTCCGCAGAGAGCTGGCGAGTCTTCGTTGGTGTATTATCGATGGACGATGACGGCGACGATTGACAGCGGTGCCAGCGGTGGTTTTCAGTTTTCAGGTTCAGTCGCCGCCATCGTCGCGCCAATCACGGTGAGGACACTGAGGACATTGTTTTGGTGTCTGCCGTGTCTGGTTGTCGCGGTGCGAGGTGCGACGTGTTGTGACAGACGTGATCGTCGCGGCTCCGTAGAGCATCGTCGTCGTCGTCGTTATCGTCGCCGCAACAGAGATACACGGGCGTGCAACAATGGCGACAATGGGCAAGGGATTTCGCGTCTACGAGAAGCTAGACTCACCCAAGCCGCACTCGGTCATCCTCGAGCAGCGGGGTCGCAAGGAGACGCTGCTCTTCGAATCTCAAGCAATCGCGGTCCTTTGTAAGTAACAAGCTGCTATTAGCCACTATTAGCGGAAACGACGTCGGCGAGGCGCCGACCCTGTGTTCGCTCCACCTGCCTGCATCTTCCTACGCCTCCCACTGTGGCAGTCCCACATTTGAAATCGGGTAGATTCGGTAGCGTTTCGCTCGCGAAGAGAGAATCGTAAGTAAGACGTCGCAAGGGCAATCGAGCTAACGTTGTGACAGCCGCGCGCTGTCACGGTGATGCGAACCGGAGCTCGGGGAGCTCCGCCGTTCCACTCCATAATATTTTGATCCCGCATCACGATTGTGGATTTTGAATTGTGCGCTAGCGTCATTACTTTACATTTCAAAGACTTTTTTTTTATATATTTGTATAATTTGTTGAAGAGCCTGTTCCACGTTTTTATTTTCAACCGCCTTTTACAAAGCGCGATAACAGTCGCATGCAACAACAGTATTTAATAAAAGTATTGTCCACTTGACAACCGAGGACTCTCATGGATGTGTGTCGACTTGCAGCCGCTGAGGAATACGAATTCCTAAAGCCGAAGTATACCAAACTGCTGGATGCGTACGGATGCCTAGGTGTTCTGCAGCTGAATGCAGGCGAGAACACTCTGCTGTACCTTGTTCTGGTTACCGGATGCTTTTCTGTTGGAAAGATCGGCGACGCTGAGGTCTTCCGAATAACACAGTCGAGTTTCTTGCCTCTGTTCTACAGCCAAGGGACGGAAGATCGGGTGTCCGAGGTCAGGAAGGTCCTGAACTCCGGAACGTTTTATTTCTCTTGGTCTGCCGGACAGGAGTCGCTCGATATCACCCTAAGCGCTCAGAGAAGATGCAAATCGACGACTACGGATAATAGGTTCTTCTGGTCAGTACAATATGGTCTTAACAAGAGTTACAAGGTGCTCTTTTACATCGGGTTTTTATAATGGAAAGTTTTCAAGATTTAAATGCAAATTATGTATCACTGTTTGTGTGATACAGACAAAAATGATATCTAATCTCGTGATTTATTGCGATTAGGAATCGGATGTTACACATTCATCTATTAAGATATGGAGTGGACACGAGTCAATGGTTATTAAAAGCAATGTGCGGCAGCGTAGAGATTAGAACTGTCTATGTTGGACACAGACAAGCTCGAGCAGTGCTTATGTCGAGATTAAGTTGCGAACGTGCTGGCACTAGGTAAGATCATTTTTCTCTATTTCATGGAAAAATACACAATGATACATCTGATACATATTCATAGACATGTTTCCTCGTTCATGATATCAGAAATTATCAGTACTTGATAAAAAGTACAACTCGTGCAATAAACGTATGACTAATCCATATTGCGTTGTGATATAAAACAAATCTGTCGGAACATATGGCCTGATTAAAATACAGTATATCATTGGACTTCTGTTATAAACGTATTAAAATGACCTTTTGTCTAGATTCAATGTTAGAGGAACCAATGATGACGGACACGTGGCGAATTTCGTGGAAACAGAACAGGTGATCTACATAGACAACGAAGTGACGTCCTACGTTCAGACGAGGGGTTCGGTACCGCTGTTTTGGGAGCAACCCGGTATACAAGTTGGTTCCCACAAAGTGAAGATTTCACGCGGCTTCGAGACGTCTGCGCCCGCCTTTAACAGGCATTTGGATATGATCAAGAAGCGATACGGCCAACAAATCATCGTCAACCTTCTTGGCTCTAGTCTGATCGGCAGCAAAGAAGGGGAAGCGATGTTGAGTCAACTGTTTCAAACTCATCATAATATGTCGGAACACAAGGATGTGCCGCACATCCTGTTCGATTATCATCAAGAGTGTCGCGGTGGAAACATGAAAAATCTGTCGAAGCTGAAAGCAAAGGTCGAAAAGTACCTGGAGTCGTTCTCGCTATTCTACGCGGCCGGCAATACCGTGATTCTTGAGCAGAACGGCACCATCAGGACAAACTGTTTGGATTGTTTGGACCGAACCAACTGCGTACAAACGTTCTTCGCGCTCGAGATGCTGGGCAAACAAATGGGTCTGTTAAAGCTGATGGAGAAGCAGCAAATGGTCTCGAGATTTGAGGAAGTGTTTCGTCAGATGTGGATCAACAACGGCAACGAGGTCAGCAAGATATACGCGGGGACTGGCGCCATCCAGGGCAGTTCTAAGCTGATGGACGGCGCGAGATCGGCAGCTAGAACGATACAGAATAATTTACTGGACTCCAACAAGCAGGAGGCGATCGATATCCTATTGTTGGGCTCAACATTAAATACAGAATTAGCTGACAGAGCACGTTTATTGTTGCCAACCAACATGTTACACGCTGCTCCGAATCTCTTGCGGGAGATGTGCAAGCGTTATAACGAATACGTGGATACGATGAATCTCAGGGTGAGCATCGGTACTTACAACGTTAATGGAGGCAAGCATTTTAGAAGCGTAGTTTATAAGGATGTATCCCTATCAGACTGGTTGTTTGATGGACCAAACAAATCTTCGTGTAAGTATCCTCCTGATTAGGTCATTATATAGCGTACAAAAGAAAAGAAAATTTTATAATAATTTTATATACATATCGTGACAGATATTTATTTTTATAATACAATCTTTGTAATATCTCTTTTCAGCCTTGGTATCCCTACAGCAGCATGACAATGTTCCTGTAGATATATTCGCGATAGGATTCGAGGAGATCGTCGACTTAAACGCCAGTAATATCATGGCCGCCAGCTCGGACAACGCCAAGGCTTGGGCCGAAGAGCTGCAGAAGGTGTTGTGCAAGGATACGGAATACGTCCTCGTGACATATCAGCAGCTGGTCGGTGTCTGTCTATATCTGTTTATACGACCCGTGCACGCGCCGTATCTGCGAGACGTGGCGGTGGACTGCGTGAAAACGGGATTGGGAGGCGCCACCGGGAACAAAGGCGCCGCGGCGATCAGATGCGTATTGTACTCCACGTCCTTCTGCTTCGTGTGCGCGCACTTCGCCGCCGGTCAGTCCCAGGTGAACGAACGTAACGCCGACTATGCCGAGATCACGAGGAAGATAACGTTTCCTATGGGTAGAACCCTGAACACTCATGATTACGTGTTTTGGTGCGGTGACTTCAACTACAGAGTCGATATGGATAAGGATGACATGAAGGAATTGATCAAGCAAAACGAATTTGACCAGATACTGCAATACGATCAATTGAGGGTACTGTGTCATATTATTGATTAGAAATTCTATATTTCCTATGTTTACTAAAGAATCATATAGAGGAAAAATGAACAAATTTTTTTATCGTAATATTGAAAGGTTTAGTTGCTAACAATACTTCATGCGTCTTTTAATTTTAAGGTTCAACAAGAACAGGGCAACGTCTTTAAGAACTTCCAGGAAGGACCCATTACTTTCGCTCCTACATATAAATATGATCTGTTCTCGGAAGATTACGACACCAGCGAAAAGTGTCGTGCGCCCGCATGGACGGACAGAGTTCTGTGGAAGCGCAGAAAGCAAATACCTGATATTGGTTGGTTTTTTTTCTATTACATGGATATTTATATGGAGTATATGTATAAATATAAATTGTATTTCTGTATCAATTTAAAATGTATATTTTAGACTCACCCACAGATTGGAATCCAGGAAAGCTCGTTTATTACGGCCGGGCGGAATTGAAGCAGAGCGATCATCGACCGGTACTCGCGACGATTGACATAGACGTACACTGTGTCGATCCCGAGAAGCGCGAGCGCGTGTTCAAGGAAGTGATACAGGATCTGGGTCCACCTGACGGCACGATAATAGTCAAGGCGGTGGAGGACGTCGAAGATATGGACAGCGTATTCGATAATAATCTCATGTTCGCGCTGATACAGGATCTATCCCACATCGGCGAAGCGATTTTGGTACGTTACGTCGGCGAGACTATCTGGGTGACATTCAGGGATGGGCAGTGCGCCCTGGCCGCGGCGAAGAAGGGCATGACGCAGGTGTGCGGCCAGACGTTGAAACTGTCGCTGAAATCGCCTGACTGGGTAGAGTTGATCGAGAAGGAGATCGAGATCTGCAGCAACACCACGGTGGCTCAGTTCACGGCGGATTCGCCATTGCGAAGTCCCATGCAACGATTGGAACAGTTGGAGATCGCCGAGCGGCCGTCGCCCAGCAGAGGCAGCCCGAACGGCGTGATTCCACCCCCGAGACCGGCCCCACCAGGCCGACCTTCTCAGCCACCAAAGAGTCCCGCTCACGAGCGAAAGCAGGTACCGCGAGCTGGTGTCTTCAGCGTGATCCCCAACCAGTTTTCGCGTCCGGAGACGCCCCCGGTTGCGGATGCAGTAGAAGAGGATGATCGGCAAGACGAGAGACTGTCGCCGGACTCGGCCATCTACGAGGAGATACCTGACGGATCGCCCAGCTATCCTGTACCAAATCGACCGCCGCCGCCGTTACCGCGTATGGACGGTGCTCAGGAACCATCGAGCAGACCACCGCCCAACTCGGTACCTCCTCCGTTGCCGCATAGACAAGCCCCGCCGCCTCCGCAGCACCCACCGCCGAGCCTACCCCCGACAAACGTTCCACCACCCGTTCCGGCGAGAACCACCGGCGGGCCGCCCATTCCGGCCAGGAATCCTCACTAAGAAAGGGACGCAAAATAGATAGGACGCATAAATGGGACGTATATCCTGTTAGGCCAGACTTCCGGTACGTTTAGCATTAATCTTAGTACGTGTAATTATTTATGAGATTAAACGGACGAAGCGACAGTAGTCGACGAGTCTTCACTTCCAAACTGAGTTCCAGGTCTGCGTAGAATAGTTAGGATTCTCGATTTCCCGATCTGTGATTACTCTGAGAGTGATCGGTAGTCATCACGAGTCGGAGATAATCGCAAATTATTTTCGATCTCCGATCGCGCGAGCGTAATTAATTGTAGATTTATACTCGTAGATAGTTCTTGAGCTTATCGGACACCATATTTTGTGTTTCCATGTTGGTGATGATATAATCATGTTGATATCTGTTCTTGCGATGTCGCGCGGGAAATTGTTTTCGCTCCGAATGTTTAAAATGGCGCAAATGGCTATATTGTTTCGAAAATCCAATTTATAAATTGTTGGTGTGTGACACAGATTTAAAATGTATATTCAGAACCCGTTGAAATCGTTGTAAAATTGGATATATCATGGACACGTGTTAATGTAATCATCAGAGTTTAAACGGCGAAATACTTGCGGTAATAATGTTATAGTTGTCACTGCTTATATATTGTATATTAATAACTTAAGATGTAACTCTCAATGTTAGAATCACTTCTTGAGGTTTAGGAATCTTCACGGTATCTTCGTAGAGCGTAAAACTACCAAAAATACAAATACGATAAGACTCCGAGAAGCGAACTTAATTTTACAACCAATCGTGTGTATAGCATGACGCGGCGGAAGGAAAAGGGTAGACTCAAACACAACAGTATTCTCACGGATGCAAAATAAGATATTTCTTATAATTGCCCTGAATTTCCCCCTTGCACGCGGTGCCGAAGGCGGCTAATTCAGTTAATTTAAGGTCATCCTATAATTATGTTACGTTTTACTCTCTCTCTCCCTCTCTCTCCCCCTCTCCCTCCCTCCCTCCCCCTCTCTCTCTCTCTCTCTCTCTCTCTCTCTCTCTCTTATTTTAAAAGTTCCTATATTTTACATTCCATCAAAATTTCTAGAACGTCCGTCCCAATGGGTCCAACGCCCACCTGTATTTATTTCCTAAGTCTTCTTTATTTTTATTCTCCCGGGGTCACAGTACCACGTTTCCTATTGTGCGTGATACGGATGGTCTGTGATTTCGACCGTCACGTTATTTACGGAATGAACAACGAATGTGAATGGAAAATAAAGTTGTCATTGGCACACAAGCGTCATAATTCACAAGAAAATATGTATGATATGGCAGAGTCAAAATGTTAATTTATAGGTGTTTTCCAGCAAGATATCAGATTGCTCGTTACATTGTAAAAATCTAAATACAAGCATATAGAATGATCTCAATGTTACGAACATTTCAAGAAATTTTATGTTTAACATCATAGACGTATATAATAGACTGAGCATTTATATACGTTTATGACTTAACATGCGATAACTGTGCTCGGTTTCAATATAAATCTACAATTTGAAATTTTTCTTTAAATTTCCTCAAATTTTCTTTTTCGTTTCTTACTAAAAAATAAAAATACTCAAGATAAAATAATGTTTGTACTAACAAGTGTTTTATTATACTGCGGTTTTTATTAACACATAAATGACCAATAAGAGTAAAGATCTGTAAGCTGTGGCGATATTTTCAGAAACTAAGCCAACTGCCAACTTTCAACAAATACCGCACATGACGCAATGCGATGTGCTGCCCTTGCTGGGAAATACCCATTATAAATTGTACATATTCCTGTTTAATTTTCATCACTTCCAGCTCACTACTTATGTAAAGGTGGCTCTAATCGCGGGGAAGTGGACGTATACATACGTGTAAATTAATATAAAGATGGTGTAGTAAGTGTAAGAAGAAATTGTTTCCGACGCTTATATTACATATACAGTACGGGTTTTGTCTCCTGCACCTCGGTAACGCGTACTTTTTCACGCTTGAGTGCGTAGTTTATGCGTTTGATCAATTAGATCGATCCTTACCTGTACAAGATGTAAAACATTGGACATGTATATATATATTATGTATTGAGTGGTCTAATAAAGAGATCAGTCGGGGAACGGAGAAAGCGACGGCTCTTAAAAAAGAAGAGATTTCATTTATTGATCTAAACTGTATAAAGAGATTTGATTTCGACTTGCTTGTTTACTAATACTAACGTCATTACGTCCGTTTGGTGAATCGAAGATTGAAAACGACACCCCTCGGTTTCATCACTTATTAATACGTATATATAAAAAAAGAGAAGCTTGTACAAAAAATTTTCTTTCGAATTGCTCAATATATATTGTAAAAAAAAAGAAGCACAGAGAGCTATGTCTAATGTCCGTCAAGATGTTGAATTTCTATTTGTCGTTATAATGCAAGATATGAGCAGAGACGTGTTCTTCACTTAATACGTAATCACTTTTAGCGTAATAAATTATATACAAGGATATCACTAAATTAATAGCTATCTAGTTCTTGGTTAGTATAGTTAAATACATTTAGCAAAAACAAAGCAACATTTCTGATCTTAATCGGGAGTAAGTGAACAATATGTTTTATATATTTAACATTATCGCCTCGAATTCTTTTTCCTTTTTTCTTTACGCACTATCCGGAAATATTGCTTTCATCTCATAGAAAAAAAAAATAGTAAAAAATTTATTAACCTAAAGAAAGATAAACAAGGAATTGAAATCTCTTTAGAAGTGATTACTTAAATCAATATGTTAATTGATTTCCAAAAGTAATTACTACACATTCATAAACAGTGCACAAAAAAAGTATTCTTGACGACAACGCAAAATGCCTCGGCTTGATATATGACTCCCGAATATTTTGAATACTTTGTTCGTAATTTGAGAATACTTCGTTGTCTAATCGCCGAACGTAAAATCAATAAGTTAAGGAATAACATTCGTGCTAGAAATCCAGAAAAATTTACGCAGAATTTTTTTTACAAAGGACATTTGATTAAAGATTATAGAATCGAGTAAAGAGTTACAATATATCGTGATAAAATATTCCAAGAGCCTAATGTGTGTGCATGTGTTTGTGTGTGTGTGTGTGTGTATGTGAATAAAATCCTCGCATAATTAATATGTATTCGTGTTTACGGATACGTCTTTCTTACAACTTTCGATCAGTCTCTTCGTCATTCTCCCGAATTCATAAAGATCAACGAGTCGTCAACGTGTTAAGATATATCCTTTCTTGTTCGATAATTTGCTGATCGAGTATTGGAATGTTTAACTCAGTAATCCGCAATTACTCAAGTTGTTCTTAATTATTACGTCAGTCACGGCGTCGAACACAAACTGTATATTGGACGTGTCTGTGGCGCACGTGAAGTGCGTGTAAATCTGCTTCTGATCCTTCCTCTTGTTCAGATTCTCGAATTTCATCTGGATGTAAGAGGCGCACTCCTCATAAGTGTTGGCACCCTTGTACTCCGGGAAGCAGATGGTGAGCGGGCTCCTGGTGATCTTCTCCTCGAACAGGTCTTTTTTATTCAGGAACAGTATGATCGACGTTTCGACGAACCACTTGCTGTTGCAAATCGAGTCGAACAGCTTCATTGACTCTATCATCCGATTCATCTCCTCGTCCTCCGCCAATACCAGGTCGTAGCCACTCAGAGCGACGCAGAAGATGATCGCGGTGACGCCCTCGAAACAGTGTATCCACTTCTTTCTCTCAGACCGTTGGCCTCCAACATCGAACATTCTGCACACAAGAAATAATATAATATACTTTATCTTGAACTTTTTAGTTATATAATAAAATATTTTTGTATATAAAACCATTGCATCCTAACGACATGTGCTTGATTTAAATAGACAATAATCTTACGTGTATATATTAAAATAAATCTTTTGTAAAAATTTTTTTATATATTTAGCATATTTTAGCATATTTAGGAATAATTTGTTCAATATCAATTTGATCAAAATGAATTAAATATCTTTCACCAATGGTATGTATGTAAGATACGTAGCGTACTTGAAGTGCAGGCCCTTGAAAGAAAAATGAGTCTCCACGATTCCGGTGGTTTTGACGCGCGTTCGCAGAACATCCTGCTGCGTCGGGATGTAATTGTGTTGCGTTATGCGGTCAAGTGCGTTAAGGTAGTATGCTGCCGAGTCGTTGAGCTGGTATTCCCTACTACGCGCGAAACAGAGCTGCAGTCCCGGGTCCTGCCATAATCGCTTCATTAATAGCACTAGTTCCCCGGTCAGCTCGCCCTCCTCCGCCGCCGATGCTAGGGTGAAAAATTGTCGTGCCATATCCTACAACGCAAAACAAGGCCGATTAATCAACATGCCAGTGGAGCACGAGAAAGTTAGCGAAGTGCAGTTAATAATACATATATTAGATTGACGCAAGAGATTTGTCGTTTATCTCAAACTTGGTATAATAAAGCTACTCTTTCTGATAAGTTACTTTTTTTTAAATAAAATTAGAAAGCTATTTTCTAGACGAGAAAAGTGTTGAAGATAACGACGACTATACTTTAATAAAAAGAAGAAAAAACAATAACTCGAACTGTCGCATTTTTTCAATTTTTCTTGAGGACGACGAAATTTTCGAGCCAGCAGAAAGATGCAAAGGACTTACCGCTTTACTAGGTTCGGCAAAATCGATTCTAAGGTCTCCCATGGCTCTGATTATCGTCATTAGACTTTGTATCGTATTGCTGTATACCACTGGGGTGTATTGCTCGCATTCCTCTTTACTGTAGCCGGTCTCGTGAATAATTTTCATTTGCTTCACTATCGTGGACTTGCCGGATTCCCCAGCACCTTGAATTTTAGTCACGCATGTATATGTAATACGTATATATATAATAATGAGAACTTAATAAATACATTAAATGATAATCATATGTATAATTATGCTGAATACGTTATATTAAATTATTATATCGAATAATATTAAATATAAGTGCAGTATCGTGAGCGTCATTCAGTCATTCGATGGAAAAATTTGCGAGTCTTCCTTGACACAATAATTAAAATCGCCGACATGCCGTGCATTGTGCCGCCACAATTCATTTAACGAACGGCTCGCAGGCTATTTTCGAATCAATGCGACTCTATGCAAAATACGCTCGCACTTGAAACTTCGCCAGATATACGCAACAAACGAATCCAATTAACTGATTAATCATCGGCGCTTTCGCCGATGAGTTTCGTCTGATTGACGATCGGTCCCGCCAATCGTCGCGGAGACCGTTTTCCCCCCTCCCAGGAAGAACAAATATTTTTTATTGCCTCAAGCGAGACGAAGATAATTCCGCGCGATCTAGGAGAGACGTAATCTCGTGATTCACACGGCCGATGATTCAAGTTTCCCGTAACGCCGCACGCGTTACTACGTCCGTGTTTGCGCGATTTCGGTCATAAATTTTGAAATTTTTCACACGCGTCTAATTCGGAACAATACCAGGTCTTTAATATTAGTATTGTATTAATATTATACTAACATTTGGCGAATCCAAACAATAAGTTCAATAATTACATACATCTTATCTGTAACATATTAAATATGTAGAGGGAAACATTTACTAAAATTTAAATTCAAAGAAACGAGTTTGCAGAAATGAGTCACGGCTGATTCACTCTTTTAGCGTGCATTTTCGAATTCTAATTTTAACCCGAATAAGTCGAATTTCTTTAGATCCATTCAATCAGGTATACGTGCTCGATTTCTAATCTTTCAATATATGACACGATTGCTTGATTTCTAATCCTTCAATGTGTCTTAAAGCAGGATATGCAAGTGCGTACAATCGACCGCGAATTCTATTGTCAAAAGGACGTTCCCATCCCGCGGGAAACACGTGTAATTTCTTATTTTAGGTTTTTCGGCGCGGATGGGACGAGCGAGCGAGCAGCAGGATTAAAACGTAAGTACAGGCGTATCGCAATTTCGTGTCCTACGCCTCTACCGTAGAAGGAACGTGAAACGTGACACGCACACGTCGCGGGAAGCGTTTCGCGAGAAAGAGGGACGCCTTGCGCGAGGTTCGCGCGATCGAGAGCGCTTTAACCGAGAGGCGCCCGCGCCGTGTCGCGCGAGAACGGCAGGAGAGGCGCCTGGGATTAGACGGCAACGTCAACCGTCGCGCTTCAGCTCTTTCTCTTTGCCCCTGGCCCCAAAAGCTGCGTTGCCTCGCTCGATTCGTAGGACCTAGGACCGCGTAGGACTTCACAGGGAGACGGGGAAGGAAATTCGCTGAGGAAGTTCGGAGCTCGGCTTCCCATCTCCAAGCAGGATTCGCGCGTTGACCCTTGGGCGAGGTGAAGCATACTCCGTGGAAGCATACTCTGGAAGGAGAAAAGAGGAAAGTCTCACGAGGCATGAAAGGAACTGAAGGCGAGCGGAACTACGCGGCATCGAAATGTAATCTCACGCGGATACTCCTCTTGATTGCGACCGGCTGATAATGGATTGATATGGGGATACGTCTGATGTCATATATATCTTTTGAGATATAATATCTCATGTTATGACTACTTTCTTGGGAACGCTAGGTGGAAAAGAATATATTGGCGGTGAATCGGGATCAAACGCTAGATAGGATCTAATAATTGTCTTCCTAACAGCGTTTCTAACAGCGAGATTCACGCTGGTGATTCACGGGGAAAGGAAGGGAAGGCGCGCGGAAACTACGGCCAGCCAGAAACAGGCGTGATTCCGCAAGATCGTCGGCTATAACGCGGCGCCTTCGGGAGCGTTCGGCGGGTGCGTGGTGTGTCCGATATACGCGATACGAGACGAGACAAGACGACGTACCGAGGAGAAAGAAAGAGGAAGGGAGGGAGGGAAGGAGAATGAAAGAGAAGGAGATCGGCGTATGTACTGTACAGGCGCGCCGTCGCGAGCAGGGGATGCAAATCTACCGAGTCGTCTCCCGAGAACCGGAACCTTCCGGAAACCGGGACCGGGGAACGACGATCGGTGGAAGCGCAGCGCGCCCGGAAGCACCTCGTCCCGATTGTTCGGTGTTCCGCGCGCACGTTAGTCGCACCGGGGATGGTTGGTTACACGGAGAAATTCGGGAATATCAGGGATACCGGGTTATCGTTAATGTAATACGCGAGGCGGGTATTTACCGAGCAGCAGGAGCTTGACCTCGCTGGCGGCGCGCTCGCCATCAGCGCGGAGGTCCTTGTCGATCTTCTTGGACCGCTCGGCGGCCTCCTTCTCGCCGGTGGTGCTCACGGCGCAGCCCATCCCCGCGCCCTCGCCGGTGAACGGTCTCCTCTCAGCCTCGCGTCGTCGTGACGGCGATGACGACGACGACGACGACGATACAGACGATTAACGATGCCGATCCCGCTTGACCGAGCTAATCCTGTCTCGAGCGCACCGATCCAGCAACACCATGCGCCCCACGTTAACACCGTGTACCACACCGCACTGTTCCAACGACCGCTACCAACACACCGCCGTCGCGACTCCTGACACTTGTTGCACGGACGACGTCGTGTGGGAACCGCCCGCACGCGGTCGCGCTCGCATACACGGACGCGAGCGCCCGAGCGATCTCGGATCACTCACTCGCGCGCGCGACGCACACACACATACGCGCGCACTACTCACTCACAATCAGTATCAGTACTCTCTCTCTCTCACAGGCGCACGACGTACGCACGCGCGCGCGCGCGCGCGCGTGCTCTCGGTCGCGCACACGCAGCTGCGCGACCGCGTTCTCGCGGCGTCGGCGGCGTCGCGTTCCCAGCGCGCCGCGCCGGCACTCGACTCGCGACGCTTCCTCGTCGCGAACGGACCGGGACCGAGAACGAAAACGGGCCGACTCGACGACGACGGGTAGGTGGAACTGGTGGAAGAGGTTCGAGAAACAACCCGGACGGAACGTTCCGTTCTGCGCTTCGATAACGGAACACGGTAGCGCGCACTCGAACCTCAAACGGCGACACAGTGGCACAGTAGTCCGAGTCGACGTTCGACGCGAATGAGAGATGCGAGTCGCGACCGATGCGTTCGAGACCGCGCCCGCGATTCGCCGTTCGTCGCCTCGTCACGCCGGCGCCGACCGCCCGGCCAATCGCAGCTCGCGATGCCGCCTAGCCGCCTGGGCCAGTGCGCCGCGGCTGCGAACTGCGCGACATCTTTTCTCTAACGCGCGCAAGCGCGGAAGTTCGAATTGCTTTTAAATTATGAATTATGATTCGAAATTTGAAAATGACATTTTTTACGGCACTCGTCGCAAGGTCCTTTCACGTTCGGATTTATAAATGGCTGGCTAAAAGTAAAGCGTGAAAATTCTGGAGAGCGGATCATTCATCTTGCTTGATCATTCTCAGGTAGCAGAGTGACGTCAAATAATAACGTCTTAATGATGTTTCTAACGTTAATGATACATCATTTAAAACGCCATCCTGCTACCTGGAATGTTTCGTTTCAATCGAAGGCGAATTCAAATGCGAAGAATCCGATGGGACCCTCGCTGGAGTTGTTCCGTCTTATTTATTTATTTTTTAGAGAGAGGGAGAGAGAGATTACTTTTCACCCCTATGATTCGTCTCTTTCTTTTTATTAGTTTGGAATTGGAAACATGAAAATGTATCTATTTTACTTTAAGCGCAAGAAGCGTAAAGAAACGTGGAAGAAGCGGACCATAAAGGTTGTCCTACTTGCGTGTTAAATAAACTGCAAATAAATACAAATACAAATTTTCTCTTCCATCTGCGTTTTACAGTTATGAAAAGTGGCAAAGTTTGTATTTTATCTACTTCGGCTCTAACGTTTCCGACTCCCGTGAGATACTATTGACGTTTAATCGTGGCGACTGAAATAATATCGCTTCGTCCATTTCCCTCGAGGCGATCGAATGCAACGCAGAATTAACGTAACGAAAATCATAAACGTATCGCGAGTAACGCAAAAGCGAGTGTTAAATAAAAGTGAAATTTGCCAAACTTATCCCTCATTCTTTTTATTCTCCTCTGGCAATGTCTTACAATATGTAATATATATATCTAAAGACGCGCGCTGGATGACGAATTTTGCTATACTTTTGCTATAATATTCTGCAACAGCAATGGAATATGCCGAATCTAATGATTTGATGAGGAGGTTTTCGTTGTTTAAATTTA